ATAATTTTGGTCACTATAATCGTGATAAGAAATTTTCATACCGTTACATCCCTAGTCACGCTGGAACTCTGCATCACAGTATGTTAAGTGGCATAACATTTCCGTCACGCGCTTGAGGTATTCGGCCAATCATAACGCACTGGATAGCTGGCCAATCAGTGTACACCTCGCTTTTGAGAATGATGAGCTTTGTAAAAATCGACACGTTTCAGAAAGGCGGGACATAGAGGAGCAACAATAATGTACATTATGTGGAAAATAATGTGTTTTTTGAACCTTAAACCGCATAAACACATTGCATTACACCAAATACACAACAATGTTATTTTTAGCAACATCATATGACCCCTTTAAAGGACCTTTTAAAATGCTCAGTAAGATAGATTTAAATCATCAGTGCCCGAATGACTTTCAGAGGGGTTGACTTTTTAAAAGAAATTAATAGATAATTTTTTTGGCACAAGTTTCTGGCACCTCGCAGTTAACCAAACTACAACACTGTTAAAAGACTACATTAATAAACAATAGACTAGTTTTTTGTAATATATCTGTCGCATGTTAATTATTGTACTTGTTAAAAACATTATGTTTAAACCATTGTAGCTGTTTAGGCCATCATGGTGTAAATATCAGTCAATATTACACAAATAATTAAGATACCACTGTGGGACACTTTGTTTTTCTCATAGGCTTTAAGTTAAACAACTTTCCCGAATGCCTATCATATCAATTTCTTTTCCAAGGGCATCAGAACAAATCATTGGGGTTAGATTTTAAGCCGTTCCAGAGGACTCCGGCAACTGCAGCTTAATCAAATGGAAAGCTGAAAGCAGCAGAAAGATACGCTCTCCTTCTTTGTCCAATGGGCAGCAAATTACACAAGATTTGACAGAGTGCCAATGGATCCAAAAAGGAAATTAAATATTTAAACTGAGACAAAACTCCAAAGCAAGGGCATTTCGGTCAGCTAATGAGACTGGGCAGAAGCTGTACTGGATATCTGATCCAGTCATGTCTGTGACAGCGGCTTTTGTGTCTACTTCTGAACTCCTGGGAAAAGAACAACAGACATTTCTGAGCACACAGTGTTTTCATCATCAAGGCTCATGATTGCTAACAGCTAGTCGACAAAGCTCACTGCATATTGATTATATTTGTCATTTGCCAAATGTTCCTGTGTTAGAGAAAACCATCCACACAGTGCAACTTAGTTCAATCGATATAAATTGTTAAAGCCATTTCAAATGATAATTTAAACTTTAAGACCAGCTTGTAATAATAGCATGTATATAGTAGTAAACATTACACATTTGTATTATTTTTGGTGTGTTTTTGAGCAAGATGAGAAAAGGGAGAGACTATAGTGTTTAATGTTCAATAACGCTTGTGCAATTAGAACTGTTTCAATTAAAGTGGGTTACCATTTTGATGAAGAGTGGAGCTTTTGCTTACGCTGAGAAGAGGAGTGTTGCCAAGTCAGCGGTTTTCCCATGGAATTGGTCTACTTTTATATTGCTGCTGCGGGTTGAAGCAAAACCCCCGCCCTCCTGGAACGTGATTTAGATCAAAGTGGAACCCCCTGAAAGGAGTTATTTTAATAGCCATTTCCCCCCGGAATGCGATTAGATTAGTTTTGGCTGTGACTGGGCTAGGTTTACTACCAATTGGATCGGTCTTGTGACCAATAAAGAGTATGAGTGTGTCTCAATCAGCTCCCTAGTTCAGTAGTCTAGGCTCTGATTAGGATCAAGTGGGCCATTTTAAGGGCTGTCTCAATCACAAAATTATTCTGATGCATTGAAAGATTCGCTCCCTGAAAAATCTCACAATGCACCGCAAGAGTGCATCGAGTGCATCAGTTACTGGAAATTACATCACATTTCTGAAGCATGAAACACACAACACACACAAGCCAACTAAATAAATATAGTAACACGCGATAGCATATTCAAAAAAACAAACTTTTTTAAATTAGTATTATATTTCGGCTTAAGCACACATCACTAGACAGGTAGTGAACACATCTAGTTGACATTTATATCAAAAAGATATGGGTCCTGTTGCTGATTAAAATCAGTGGTGACGTTCAACATTGTACGTTGATGTTGTACATAATCATGTCACCGTAAATTGAGTAATCACTGTCCCAATGTATAGTGAGCCATGCATGGTTGTTATAAGTGCCCAAATAGATGTACACAATATACTGGTTCACGAGCCCGGGAACTAGGAAGCTGATTGAGATGCACTCTTTGTCTTTGTTGCTTTGCTTACTTAAGGTAACCAACTAACTGGTGTCAATGTGATTTGGATGTTTGGATTTCAAATATCCTTTTTTGAATTGTATTATTAAGTAATTAATGATCTGATATTTTATCTAATGTAAAGATATTCAGTCATTTTTAAGTGTGCCTTAAGCATCTAAACAATTTTGGCACCATTGTAAACTAACAAATGACACTACAACCTTCATTATCAGGTATAATTTGTGCAGATCAATAAATCTGAGAGACAGTGTCACAAGCATTAAAGTATGCATACAGTACACAGAAATAACCATATCTTGTTAAACACTAATTTACATTCCAGCAGAATCCCTTACCTCCTGCGATACTTCACATATGTGGAGCCCCTGTCGTCTTCCGGTTCCTGAGCTCTGCTGTGCGGGTGTGGAAGCTTGTCATGGCTGTACTTGTGTCGCTGACTCAGGTCTTTAGTGCTTCCTTTTCCCTCAGCAGAAGGGAAGTCATAGTATCCCTTCTTCTTGGCCTTCAGTCTAAGCTTATTCCTGTAGTGCTCAATGTCTGACTTCTGTTTCAGAGCCAAATTCACCTGTATACACATAGAGAGAAAGAGAGAAGGGGGATTGGCCATTCATCCACTAAAAAGAAAAACAAAAGAAAAAAAATTGCATGCATTAAAAATGTGGCTCCTCTTGATTTCCCAGAGGTAAAGTGATACTCTAAAATAAATCTGTGCCAGGTCTCTTTGAAGCCTAAATTTGACTAAATTAAGCAAGAGTATCCATTGAGATATGCTAAGAATAAACTTTTGTTGACTATAAAGGCTATGCATGATGTTAAATGAAGTTTTAGTACAGTTACAGTCTTGCAAAGAATGTATGTGTTAATTAATTAATTAATTCATTCATTCATTCATTCATTCATTCATTTATTCATTCATTCATTCATTCATTCATTCCTTCATTCTCCTTGCAAAAGCATCCAAGCAGCCTAGTAGCCTGTAAACATAACTTTGTATCCTTGCTGTACAAAACTGTATAAAACTTGTGCACCAGAAGTAGCATAACAGTTAGCCAATCAGCATTGAAGTGGCAATTTTGCATCCATCAGTGCCCTTTTTTGCATGTAAAATGCATCAGAAGGTCAGTAAAATGACTTTGGTCAGTGGTTGCCATCCAAAGCTGTCTCTAATAAAATCAAGTCTTACCTCTCCATTGAATACAGCAGAGTCCTGGCTGCGGTCGGAGGACGCAGGGTGCGAGTAGGTGGGTGGAGCTGCCATTGGTTTTATAGAAATAAGCTGAAGTGATCCTGAGGAACTATCATAATGCTCTGCCAAAAACAAAAACACATAGATTTTAATGTCAACAACAAGATTGCAAACACTTAATCAGATTATACAAGCAGAATACAGACAAATTCACTTCCTTAATTATGTGACAGCTGCACTGGCCAACATTATCGCTCTCATTTCCTATTTAAAGTGGAAAAAGTCTGATCCTGAGATTTCAGCGTATCTTTTTATTTTAATTAACTGGGTCCATTTATCAAGACAGATTAGGTCTGTCCACCTCTGAGAGAATATATCTAAATATATTCATATGGAAGTTGAAAAATATGATAAGCAAAACTGTACATTTTGTCTTAACTATAAAGAATTAGGCTCGATGTGAGCAGAATTTAACAAGTTATATCCATGGAATGGATCTTTCAGCCCTTTTTTTGTAAGTAATAGTTCACCACCCAAAAATAAAATGTAAATTCTATCATTACACACTGCTGTTCTTTCTTTTGTAGAATATATAAAGAAGAACTGAATGGATTATAATGCTGCTTTTAACATATCACAACAGTTCATAGTGGCCACATCTATCAAGCTCCGGAAAGGACTAAAAACACCAAAAGCACCATAAATGTAGTCCATATAATTGACATAATTTTCATTTTTGAGAGAACAATTGTTCTAAACTTGGAAGGATTGAGGGTTTTCAAACTGACATGTGTTGGCAATCTCTAAAGTACAACTTAAATATATGTAATGTAGTTCCCTTTCGATAAGACAAGACACAGTATGAGTGTAGTATACACTCCTTTTTTCACCTGAACTGAATCCTTTTTTCAATCACGCAGTGAAACTGCATGGCCATTGGTTCGTGCAGTGTATTAAAAACGAACCAATGGCTCGGCAGCGGAGCTGCGAATGGGCGAGGCATCTGGCTATATAAGCGGGCGCTCGCCACAGGATTCTCAGATTTCGGTCCTCTTCCCCTGCCGCCATCCGGCGATATTAAAAGAGCTTCCTAAAAGAGCTTGGCGTTGTTGCCAATGCCACGCCGTTACTGCGGTTTGTGCGGGTCTCCCATGCACGCCGATGACGGCCACAAGGAGTGCATTTCCTGCTTGGGGAAATTCCATGCGGAAGCTGCACTCACGACAACTGATTGTTCTCACTGCGAGAACTTC